CCCCCCCCCCCCCCCCCCGCCCCCCTCCCCCGAAAAAAAACAAGGTTTAAAAAGAGAAGCCTTCTTGCGCGTCCGCCCTCGAATGGTAGTTCACGAGTTAGTAAAAAAAATAACGCCGTGAAAAGCGTTTTTGTTTTTCCTCACTGCGGTCGCGCCCTTTCCATGTCCACCCTTTCTACTCGTTTTCTTGTCTGCTCGTGATCTCCCTCTACATGTACTTATACTAAAGTATATAATCTAGCAGCAGCAGACGCAGCAGCAGCAGCGGCAGCAGCAGCCGGAGCAGCTGAGAGAAGGGGAGCACAAAACAACAAAACATGCAGTAAAAAAAAGACACCAACACTTCTAACAAGGAAAGGCCACAAGCAGGTGCTGGAGAGGGTGTGTGTGGGATAGAAAGGAACGCACGCACGTAGGTAGAGTTGGTTAGGCACAACTAACCAACAAGGAGGCGTCTGCCACAGGGCGCCTAATCTCTCCCGTCCCTTGTGAAACGGCACCTGCCTGCCACCTATCCACAACGAACAAAAACCGCTAGCGTAACAACACAGATTTGGGTTACCTACACACCCCGTTCATCTGCACTCGGGGTGCGTTTTATCCAGACGAAATAAGAACGCGGCAAAACGAACCCTCTGCGCGTGCCTGCCTCTCTTCTTCCTTGTAAGGGCGGGTGCGGTTTGGAGGAGTGCTGCAGTATCACATGCCGCTTTCCCCCCCTCTCCGCCGGGAGAAAAAAGACGGCAGCATGCATGTCAGTAAGCGGGCAACCACCGTCATCTCTTCAGTGAGCACCCTCACACCGCTCTACCCGCCCAACAACCTCTCAATCGGCGATGCTTGTTCCTCGACAGCCGTATTACACCACTAACCACGCTTGCTGCTGGGGCTGGCGGGGGGGGGGGGGGNGGGGGGGGGGGGGGGGGGGGGGGGATTTCTCTGCACCGAAGACACTGAAACAAATGGAAAAGGCGCGCTGTTTGCAAGAAACACGCATGACGACACAAGAAAACTAGCGTGCGGCGTGGCAAACAAGTTACAATTTCTGCTCACTGTTGAATACATAATCGCTATTCGCGGGCTATATTTATTATTTCTCATCATTGAGGGAAAATAATTATTTGCTCCTTCCGTACTTTGACTACAAGTACAACCTCGCACAGGGGGGGGCAGGACGAAGCCTCGCCTAACTTTGTTTTCTCTTTCTGCCTTTCTCTGTATGTCTCGCCCACTTCTGCTCAACTCCCCGCTTCGTCCACAAGACGTCAAACAACAAAAACCGTCAACCTGTTTGTCCGACCAAGCTGCCAACGTTCGTTCGAAAGGTCAATATTGAGTCCAAAGTGACAAGTATCCATCCATATTCCCCCTTCCCCACCCAACCCCCTCCCTTTCTTTCCCGCATATTCTTCTCCAAGCGCGTTGGTTTCGCAGGGAAAAGTAAATAGTAAAAATAAACACAACAAATCTTCAAAGGGAGAGGCAGGGAGAGATCATCCACAGTCGCATCACTCTTTTCATCAGGGACCATTGTCGGCTAGCACAGCCCTTCGCGAAAAATGCCAGACGACCCACGAAATCCAACCCAACCTAACCAGTCGCAACATGCTATAGTACACGAAGTAATCAACAGAATCAACAGCATACGAGCGGACCCCCCCCCCCTCCCTTCTTCCTCCCCTCCAATAACCTCGAAACAAAGAACTCCGTGTTGCAGTATTACAAGCATCAGAGGCCGCAGCAGCAGCACATGACAATCATACGATGAACACTCAGGGCAACACCAGAAAGTGCCCCGCCATACGGCCGACGAACCGGCTTATAGCTCGCGCCGATCTGTTTCCTCGCGCTCGACATCCATCCCCATCCCCTTATCATCGTACTCTTCCTGCTCTTCTTACAACCTTCACCTTATCGCCCTTCCCTCTCCAGCGCGGCCAAGGCAGCAAAAAGATTCGAAACGGAGAGAAAATGCACAGCCACGCCCCCCCCCTCCTCCCCGCCCCTCCACGCAAGATTACAGGTCTCTCCCTCGCCCCAATCTTGTACCCGCTTCGATCGATCTGATACGAATCACCGCGACTCAGGCATCCCGGCCTTACGGGTAACCCTGTGAACGCCGCTACGGGTAACGAGCATGGCCGTTCTTGCCGAGTCCCGCTTGTGCACGTCCTCCACCGACTGGTTCTTCTGACGGACCATGTCCGTCTGGTACTGTCTCCTCTGCGACAGATGAGGGAAAAAAACCCAGAAGACGGGGCAGGGGCAACGGGTCAAACTTCTCACAACGTCGATTTTCGATACGGCGGCGCGCACGGTTGGTAAATCAGGGCAGCAGCAGGCGGACTTGTGTACAGCAAACAAGCAGCCTCCAAGTGGCGAATTTTTCTCTGTTTTCTCTGTTGTGACATCACAGAAGAGTAGTCAGGAACGGCCGGCAGAGGCGACGGGAGCGAGGAGGCGGGGAGGGAGGGACAGAGTGTACGGATATCGTATCGTCAACGTCTCAACGTCTCGCCCCTTGAGAGTCGAATGCGCCACGTCAAGGTAGCCGACTGGCGCGTTCGGAGACCATATCATCATCGCCCACCGTAGAAAACACTGATGACAACAGCAGTCAACACAATCACCGCTGTCTACCTCGCCGCACGTCCTTTCAACAGTATCGAACACACACACCGGCGGGATAAAGCAAAGGGAGGGTAACATGAACCCCCCTCGTCGTGAGTACTGCTATTGTGCGCTACGGTGGCTTCCGCCGAGAGCACAGGCCAACAAAGAACGATCGAAACCTCTTCCCCTCCTTCCCTTCCCTTGAAGGTGCACGTGCACGCATCAAAGGCAAGCACAACATACACAGAGAAATCAACGAGGATAACTCCTGTTCCTGACAAGACA